CCAGCCCCAGCACCAGCCCCAGAGCTAGAGCTACTGCACGCTTTACACCCGGAACCGATTCGGAGAGCAGAGACACAGCCATCCCAGAGCTAGAGACCTCTTGGAGCCCTGCGCCAGGTCCGTGACCAGCGACAGCAGCAGCTCCACCATCAGATCCAGCTGCACCTCGAGCTCAAGCTGCTTCAGTGCCAGCCGCAGCTGGAGCCCCCCAGCACCTGCTTCTGAGCCAGAGCCGACTTCAGCACCGGTCCTCACATCATGTCCAGATCCAGACCCAGCTCCAGTTCCAGGGTCAGAGCCAGCGCGTCATGTGAGGTAGAGCCAGCTCTGGTATCTCTGTTATGTTCTTCTCTAACGTTTATTTTTTAGGTTTACTTTGCTCTTTTTCACAAAGGGTACCTTCTAACTAACTCCTAGCAATAGCCAGCCTCAGGAGCCCCCTCTCCGTGGTGAGTGGCCCGGGCTCGCCAGGCACCTCGCTCCCAACCTGCCAGCCCAGACCACCTCCGGGCTTGGCTCACTGACCCTCCCTTCTGGCCGGGCACGATTCCTGACAGTGGACAGGCTGCCCCGGACTCCTGTGGACCACTTTGCTGCCTTAGATGCCTTCTGCTCTCTGGGACCCAGAAGACTAGCTAACCTTAGCTCAGGAGCACTGCCAGTGGTCGTACTGCCCTGCCTGCTGCCAGGTGCTGCCCCCGTACACTTCCTTCATTCCTTCACAGGTGCTGGTCGTCGCCATCTGGGCCCACAGGCAGCCTAGGGCACCCACTCAGCCACTGGGTCTGACAGCGGCAGCTCCCTTATGTCGTAACAGCACCTGCCCGTGACCCTCCTAGGGGTCCTGGCCCTGTCTCCTACCGCTCCAGCCTTTCTCAGGCTAGATGGGATCTCAGAGACGCCATGCTCAAGGCCAGCTGCGAGTCAGAGTCTTACCTACCTCCCACCCTGCACTGCCCCCCCCGTAAAGGCGAGGCCCCCCCACATACCTTGCTCTTCACCAGGTGAGGAGGGGCAGCCGGGTCCCACTGAGGTTACCTGGTGGCACCGTAAGTGCCAGGCATCAAGGACTTCGTGAGACCACAGGAGGTGGGGCCAGTGGGAAGGGGAGATTTCAGAGGAGGTGAGAGGGTGATCGATTTTTTGGATACAAGGTTAAAAAAAGTTTACTATTATTGTAAACAGCAAAACTTGCACTTGAATGTTATATCAAAATCCCACTTTCGCTACAGCCTGGGAGATGCGGTTTTGTGTTCTTTCATTTCTTGTGTTTAAAATGAGATGGACACGCTCAGTCCTCATTCAGTGTCTTGCAGGGTCATTAGTTTATTGTGTGCAGAAGTGAGAAAGGCCAGCCTTCTCTGAAGGACGTGCCCACGTCCACCTTCCACAGAAACTTTTATTTCAGTGTCATTAAGCTGGACGAGGAGCTGAGGCAGCCCCTCAGAACCCAGGGGATTCGGAGGTTGAAGGCACTTGCACAGGCACAGCAACAGCTGCTGAAATTTGAGCATCTTTAAAAGTGACCCTTGCCCGGGCTGTTTCCCGCCCCCAGACAATGGCTGCCTTTCTACACTTCAGAGGAAGAGCAGCTTTCTACTTCTCCTGCTGAGGTGTCCTTTGACCACCAGTTGGGAAAACTGCAGCTCAAACTCTGCAATTCCACAAGCCCAAGTCGGGGAAATGCATACAAGACAAAAACACACAACGCGGAAAGGAACAAGCCAGAGTAAGGTTACTGGCAACCAGGCTGAGGGCAGACAGGGCTTTCCATCATCGTCCCCCTTCTCCCAAGGTCAGCACTTAGCCTGAACTTGAATACTCCTCTGACCTCAGAATTCCTTTTCCTGTTTGTTTTTTTTTTTAAATCGAGGGGAAAGATCTGTGATGCAGAGTTTAGGGCTACAGCCAGGTGTCATTCTGTAAGTGTCCCTGCTGCCTGTGTACAGGGATTTCCCGAATCCCTGCCATGCCCTGTGCAATCATTTTAACCCAGACATGCCCTAGATGCCGCCTGTCCCCCGTCGGGTACACCCTGGCCACCCCCCTCTGGCTGGGTGGGGCCCGGTGAACGTCCTTTGGTTACGTCACAGGGATGTAAATCCTTCCTGCAGGGAGGGGAAAGATGCAGCCTGATGGACGGGGAGGGGGTGTACTGCCAGGACCAGCGATACGTGGGCAGCACAGACACGTCTCTCCCCATCAGACACCCAGGTGGGAAACACACACTGCCCTGAGCTCACCCAAGCGCCCTCCTGGGGCTTCTCCCAGGACTGAAAGCTAAAGGGTTAACACCAGGCACAGCAGGAGGTCCCAGGACCTTACACAGCCTTCAGTCTGCACCCTGTCAGAATACACAGCCTGTAAGAGCAAGAGATAGACAAATGGTGGGGCAACTCTGAGTTACCCTTTCCTCCTCAATGGCTATAGGTGTCACTCAGACACACAGCAAGGCTCACCTCTGCCAGGCCCCAAGTGATTGTGCAAGGATGTTGTTGAATGCAAGTGGGTGTGCAAGAAGCAGACACAGAAAAGAGCAAAATGGAGCAAATGATTGTTGAACCACACAGAGAGATTGTAATGGAGTTGATTATTTTTTTTCTATTTGCTTTAGTTTTATTTATTTTTTTATCATAACATTTTGTGTATATTTCCCTGTGCTATACATT